TATGAATCGTAATGTAAATATCTGATATGCAGGATGTATTTTCATTGTTACAAACTGAACATAATTAAAGCATAGTGATTAATCACAAAAACAATATGTAATTATATGTTTTCTGATGGTCTTAGGCAACCCCTCTGAAAGGGTCATTCCACCCCCCAAAGGGGTCGCGACCCACAGGTTGAGAACCGCTGATGTAGAGCTATGGTGAGTCTTAAAAACTGAATATTTAATTGTCTAGGCTGGTCACCTCAAAATATCCCAAGTGCCTCCAATGCATTGAAACTGAAAGTGATCTTATCCATCCAACATAGGAAAGTCCACAGTTCTAAAATAGCTCAAATAATCATTCCCTTCCCTCATCTCCTCTAGCAATTATATGCATACCATCTACTCAGTTGGTAACATTCACTTTCTGATATTGTTATTGACATGCACGCCTTGGTTTCAGAACTGGATCCCAAGTCATTACCTTTTCTTTCCTTGCACTTGACCTCTATCCCTTCCGAAGCCTAGAATGTGCTGCACTTGGCAGGCCCTCACAGATCTTTCTGGAATGATTACACTTACCATGATTAGGTCCTTTTTGTCAAAGAAGGAAATGCTATTGGTCTGATTTGTCATTTACTTAAATTTACTTGTTTTTTTCTTCAGATCAGCCCTGTTTAGTAGTCACGTCTGGGTATCAAATAACCTGTGTATCAAAGTTATGTTATTTGGAACATACTATTTAAAGGCATCCTTCCTCCCTTTAAATAATGACAGAAGCCAAATTTGCCTTTTTCTAAATCTCAGATACTCCTGACATATTCCAGGAGGGACTGAGAACATTAAGCAACGGTGGGAGCCACGGACTGACATTCCCCTGGACTGTGACCGGACTCACATCTGCCATCTTTAAGCAGAAGAGACTAATGGTGTCTCTTTTTGCTTTGAGCTCCCATTTGAATGCTGGCAGGTGTGTAAGTCCTGTGGCCACAGTGATAGCTTTAGCCGCTTGTCCACAGACACTAGGAAATGATAGAAGAAGCAGGTTATCAAGTCTTTAAACCCTTGCCCCTTGTAAGAATCCTGTGAATTCAAACCTGAACTTCACACACTGCATACTTCAGGTCTTCCTCCAGAAAACTAATTTTTCCCCCAAAATTTGATCACCCACCTTGGAGTTCTCCACTCCGACTGTAGAGCTCCCGTCTCTGCTCTCGCAAGTAGGCGCTCATGCTGATGGCGTGGGAGGACGATTCAAACCTGCATGAAACGCAGGGAAACAATGGTCAGGTGGTAACCAAACAGGCGATGTGGGCTACAGATTCCAAAGTACTCTCCTCTAGTCTGTGATGCCCCCAGTGGGCCACACCAGGACACTGGCTACGCCACAACAGGCCAGGTGTGGGCTGGCACAGACCTGGATTTATGAATGGGATCCTGGCTAACGCTCCTCCACAATGGCATTGGGATCTTCTGCCCACTTTCCACTTCAGATGGCACAACTCTGATCAACTTTGTTTAGTCTCTAGATCCTCTGCCAGGATCCCTACACACACAGCAAAGAGTAGCTCATAAGGTAATTCTAACTTTGCCTGTCCAGCTCAGAAGCTATCGGTAGCTGCCAGCTGTCACACAGAAGTCCGGGATGCTCAGAGCAGACATCGTGCCATTCTAAGTCCCCCGTTACAGGGTTAGACAATGGGCATGCTAGGAATGCTGCTGATTCAGACGCGGGGAACCTTTTTTCTGCAAGGGCCGTTTGGACATTTATAACATCATTCACGGACCATACGAAATGATGGCCTTAAAAATTAGCCTGCTATATTTGGTCAAACATTTAATTAGCTCACCCCTAATGCCTTGGCAGGGACAGACCAAATGATTTCACGGGAATTATACGGCCCGTGGGCCGGATGTTCCCCACCCCTGAACTACACCAAAGGAGCAAGGCAGCTAAATCCTCACACACAATACAGCTTCGAAAGGGCTGCCAGGCTCTGACCCGCACCTGCCACATGAAATGCTCTGGAACATACCAAGCTCCAGACGTGTGTTTGCCCACACCCACCCGGGACTGTTTCAGAGGGGAAGGCTCACGATAGAGAACATAGATCTAAAATAATAAATAGCAAAAACAAAAAAAAACCCCACACAAATGAAAATCACTATCTTAAGAGAAACTTGCAGGTAAGGAAGAAACAGTTAAAATTGTGACCCTATCAAACAGTAAATCCTCTGCTAAGTAGCTCCATTTCCAACCCAGTATCTTCAAAGTCACAATACCAGGCTGACAGGAGAAATCTGTGGAAGAACTGCCACCATTGAGGCGTAAACAGTTCCACAATGGAAGAACAGCAGTTACAGAACAGGCTCCTGGCCACAAGGAGGGAGCGCCATCATTTCCTTAATTCTGCCTCCTTTATCCATCCTCTGACAAGGACGAGGCGCACTAAGCTGAATGTCAGTCTGAGGGGGACACTTGGGCTGCTTGATCCTCTCTCTGCACCCTGCCAAGAACTAAGAGGACGCTCACAGCCAGAAGGAAGGCCCCGTGTGCAGTAAAGTACCACCTGCCAGTCAAGTAGAAAAAGGAAGCCGCTGGCCTCCGAAAAGCATGCTGACAGCTATTGATCAGAAATGACAAGGGAAAGAAATAAACTCTTGAGCAAAGAATGGAGAGGCCCACATTATACAATAAGAGAGAACTTAAACACACTTAATTAACCTTGGCTCGGGGCAATTAGAGGGAGCAATAAAGTCCTTCATGGATGTGATAAAAACAGGTTACAGCTCACCAAAATCCTCATCCTCATGACCTGATGTATTCCTTGGGAATACTTTTATGTTTGCAACAAGTCACAGATTGGTACAATTTTACAGTAAAGGGGGATCTAGAGATGACCTAGTCTCACCTTATTGTGCAGCACAGGCACAAAGCCCTCAAGCCGGGAGATCTGCTCCGGACCACAGGGCCCACCGAAGGTGGGAACCCAGACTAAGAAAGGCAGATCTGAGATAATGGCCTATGTGGGCGACGAGTTTTTATTTCTATGCAATAATAATAAATATGTGACAAATATTCACAGTCATTTATTCATTTCCAACATTTTATGTTTTCCAGGACCACAATTTCAGGATTGGCTAAATGTTTAAAAATGGCTATGTGGTCTCAGGGGTGACGGTTGAGAGCATGAAATCTAAAAACCCTGAAACCTGATTTCAGCACAACACCTACATTTAGGTGGCGGGTTGAGCTGGGAGAGGGAGACAGGAGAGGAGGAAGAGCCTAACAGGCAGCATCTGAGGCAGTCTGTGTCCCTATCCACTACCTTTTCCTTTCACCGCCTTTCTTGCGTGCTGGCGCAACTCCAGTTCTACTGGGGGTTCTGCTACCTGCCTCCTCTCTTCTCAGCAGTTCTCTTTCCTGTGCTCAGGAAAAGTGGCTCCCTCTGCAGCTTGAGACCTGTCCCAGAGTGAACCTAACTGGTTTAAGATGACCACCCAGTCTACTTGCTCTTGCCAGGGACTACTTCAGGAATGGACAGAGACCCAGTCTTCGTCTCTTGAGGAAAACATGCAGAGGGGATCTGTCGCTGGCAGGAAAAATTAATGAATGTATAAGCAATAATTTAAATTAATTTTAAAAGCATTTGAAGGGGCAGGTCCACTTGGGAAGACAGTTTGGCCGTGTCTTAAGTTAAACGTGGTCTACCATATGCTCCTGGGTATTTACCCAAATGAGCTGAACACTTAGACGGGACACAAAAACCTGCACATGAGTGCTTATATTAGCTTTATGGAAGCAACCAAGGCACCTTTCAATAGTTGAATGGGAAAATGGTGGTATATCCACACAATGGAATTATTCAGCGATAGAGAGATCTAATGAGCTAAAAAGACATGAAAGGACCTTAAATGCATATTGCTAAGTGGAAAAGAAGCCTGAAAAGGCTACATATTATATGACTATAACTATGAAAAGCATTCTGGAAAAGACATGGGTAGAGACAATAAAAAGGTTCAGGGAGCAGGCAAAAAGGAGTAGGAATAAACAAGTGGAAAATAGGGGTGTTTAGGGCAGTGAACTATTTTGTATGAGACTGTAATGGTGATCTATAGCATGATACATTTCTTAAAACCCATTAAACTGTAGAAAACAAAATGTGAACCCTAATGAAAACAGTAGACTTCAGCTAATAATTATATAAATACTAGAGGCCCGATACATGAAGATTCGTACAAGAATGGGCCTTCCTTGCCCTGGCTGCCAGTACCACCTTCGCTCTAGCCCAGAGCCTCCTTTCTGACTTCGTTCTGGCACCTTCCCGCCTTCCCACACTGCCCAGAGGCCCGGAGCAGCTGAGGCAATGCAGAATGCCTGTGCCATCATCATGGCACCTGCATATGCAAATTAATCCAACAAAGATGGCAGGTTAATTTGCATACTCACTCCTGACTGGATGGTGGGCGTCGTGAAGGTATGGTCAATTTGCATCTATCTATTTTATTAGTGTAAATTGGTTCATCAAGTATAACAAATGTACCAGATTCATGAAAGATGTTGATAGAGGAGGTTACAGGAAAGGGGAACATAAGGGAACTCAGTGCACTGGCTGCTCCATTTTTCTAAAAACCTAAAATTGCCATAAACAATAAAGACTACTAATTAAAAACAGATTTATAGGCAGAATCACAGCCTACTTCCTGTCATCACCATTCTTACTGGAGTGGAAATAAAGGCAGAAAATGGGAAGGGCCAAGTCCTTGATGACACCGTGCTGGTGAGGTAAGGAGTCCTCTACATACATCTTTATTGTGTGAGATAATAACTGCCCCCGCTTTAATCTACTCGTGGCTCATGTGGGGTTCTACATCACCTACAGATGAAAACAGTTTTACTGATACTGTATCTAACCTCTGAATAAACTGTAAAAAGAAAAAAAAAAAAGAAACGCACTCAATAAACAGAATGGATTTTATTCCACTGTGAAAGAGTAAATCTCCTCTCCTCTAGACACAAGATAAATGAAGTGCTGAAACTTTCCTTAATGATTAAGAACTCTATAGTCCACGATTTTTTCGCTGTGCACTGAAGGGTTGCCGGTTCCATTCAGGTCAGAGCACATGCCTAGGTTGCAGATTCGATTCCCAGGAGGGTGGTTAGGGAGGCAATCAGCTGACATGTCTCTCTCTCTCTCTCTCTCTCTCTCTCTCGCGCGCGCGCGCGTTTTCTCTCTTCCAATCTCTCTAAAAATCATTGGAAACATATCAGGTGAGGACTAAAAAAGAGAAAAGAACCTGCCCCCCAAAAAAACAAATCTCAAAAGTGAATCAGTAAAAAATACTGGAGCTTCCAGTATTCCAAACACTGCGCTAATACATACTTCTGTAGCCACTTTACATGCTTAGAGTTACAGAAACAACTTCTTAAATATCTATTAACTCTTCAAAAGGACACATAGGTCTACCAAGATTTAAATACTGCTTCTAGCACCTGCTAGCTGGGTAAACTTACATAAGTTACCTAACCTCTCTTGTGCTTCAGTTTGTTGTTGTTGTTGCTGTTTTTACATGTAAAATCGGATTAAAAATTGAATCCACACCTGTAAGGTCATAGTGAGTAAATAAGATAATCCATGAAAAGGGCTTCATGCCTTTGCTAACACTCAGTAATGACTCAGTAAGTGTTAGCCAGTACTCCAGCTGCTGAAGTTTGATGTAACCTGAATTATGCTTAAGACTGTTTGGAGTAACTTATCTGCCAGAGTATCTGGCAATAGTAAGCACTCAATCAATGGTAGCTACTATTGCTGTCATTATCAATGTTAATAATAATATAACTGTTAGCTGTTGCTAACATAGTAATTAGAAGGAAAAAAATCCAGATTGTACCTTTATGAAATTAAACAAAACCCAATACTACTTAGTTAGACAGACTTACATAACTTTATTAACAAAGGTTGCTTCTTCGCACTTGGGTTTTTCAAAGGCTGAAATATTACATTTCATTTCATATAAATCCCTCAGAAACAACTGGACAGTTTAATTTTCCTTCATTATATATAAAGCTCCCCAAAAATAAACTCCTGCAGTTTTTTTTAAAGTTCTAGATAGTCCAGTAACCATATTCCAATATGACCACTTCCCCTTACAAAAAACTAAAGTATACAAAGTTAAATATACATTCACTTTCCTATAAATTATTTCAAAACTTTAACTGAGTGAAGTAATGGCTGTCAATTAAGTAGCAAGTCCAGCCTGGATCTAACATTTCCTAACACCTGCTATATGACCAACAGGGAGATACTTACTTGAAAAGAGAATTTTTCGGCCTTTGAGGTTTCTTCTTGGCAAAAAAGGCTGCGAACTCCCGTCCAGTGCTGGCGTAACTCAATTGAGCTGATGGTTCAGAGGCCGTACGAGTATTTTTCATGTCCAAGTACTCAGTCAACAGCATCTGTAGAATCAGATAAGCAATGTAATACACACATTTAGAGGTGCTATCAGGAAAAGCAATTTTAAAGCATAAGAACCTAATTCTAAATCCCCATCCTTGCCACTATGTAGAAGTATAGTAACCCAGCTACTCGTATTTCCAGTGGTGGATCTGAGGAAGTTATTCTACCCAGAAGCCATCTATCTACTCTCTGTCTGCATCGAAAACTAAGGGGAAAGGGTGTAGTGGGCATTTGAAAATAGGAGTAAAATAAGAGTTTATATCTCACTTATATGTGGAGTCTAATGAACAAAATAAACTGGAAAACAAAATAGATCAAAAGAACTTCTATGCATATATGCTTAACCTATGAACAGATAATCAAGCAGTGACGGCCAGGGGAGGGGCCTGGAAGGGGGCAAAGGTGGGGGGAGGAAGGGGAACATTTGTAATATCTTCAACAATAAAAATATTTTTTAAAAAAGAGTTTATTTAAGCCAAACTGACATTTGCTGGGGAGCAAGGTCTGAAAGGCACTGAGGGAACATTTTTATTACACCTCTACTATGGACCAGGCACTGTGTTGAGTTTATCCTTTAGTCATAATTTAACCATTGATTATTCCAAATTATAGCATCATCAGCAACAATGACACATTTACTGAGAGCTTACTATGCTGCAGGCAAGGAGCTAATCCATTTAGATGTTTTTCCTCGTTTTAAAAGAGCAAAATTGTATCACGTAAATTCTGATTACGAGGAGAAAAGAAGGCTCAGCAGAGGCCCAGGCACTCGGTGTGCAGCTGGGGGACTGGCTCTGGGTCCATGGTCCTGGCACAGAGGACAAGCACTCTACCCAGCCTGCTCAGAGGTGCCACAGGCCATAGCAGGTGGAGGGTCCTGGCCGATGAGTAATTTCTAGGGTCACTACTCATCTTAAGTGCTTCAAAGCAGCAAATAAACAAAAAACAGCTTTTGATCACTTCTGTCAGTGGGTCCTCTTATAAAATGAATCCACTTTAGAGTCTCAGAGGCGGGGGCCTGGGCTAGAATCAACTGTTCCACAGATTGTAAGACCACTGTTCTCAGAAGTCCCCCCTATCGCAAAAGGAAACAGAATAACTACCCTGGACTAAGCACATGAACTCGTTCCCATAATCACAACATTTAAATCCTTCAGATACCCAATCCTATAGACATATAGGCAAGCAATTCTACCCAAGACTGAAGTAAAAACTTTTCAGAGACTCCGGCTACCGTGTAACTATTTATTCCTGCAGGCATGTTTACATTCACTCATTCATTCATTCAGTGAAAGTCTGAGGACCATATTAAGCATTATCATAAAAAACATTTAGAAAGCACTCCATAAACATAATGCTGCCCAAGTAAGTTTTAAAGCCATTATGTCTCTAATAGGAGAACACACCCACCACGAGCACTTATTAAATATCAGACACTTTAAAAACAGGATCCTTCTCCACCCTAAAACCTATGAGGTGGAGGAGTTACTATCTGCATTTTAGAGAGGAAGAAAGTGAGAATCAGTGGTATTTAGAAACTAGCCTACATGCCTGGGAGGGATAAGGCTATTGGGAAATCTCTGTACACTCCCCTCAATTTTGCTGTGAACATTAAACTACTCTAATAGTCTGAAGGAACAAGGGAAACAAGCCTACGTCTTGTAAGTATAGCAAGCTGGCCTAGTTGACTCCAGAGCCCGTGCTCTCTTCCCCATGACACGTTATTCTAACTAAAAGCATAAAAACTGTCAATAAGAATGGCTGTAAGTGGCAGTAAATGGGCTTTATTTCATATTCTGTAAAATAAAAATTTATACTGGGAAAGTATAAAATATGTTAACAGATTGGTCAATGTTTTTTATTTATTTACGAGGTCACTGGAATATTACTCAACATGATGATAAAGTAATATAAGGACAAATACCATCTCTGTTAATACATCACTCAAACTGCCCAATAGTCAGGGAGTACTGAATTGGGTCTCTACATTAATAACTCAATTGAGGGACTCAATTTGTAGATTTGACACTGACACCAATAAAGTTTGTAGGAATCTGTGATTAAAAGAACGCTAGTAAACCAGAAGAGAATATCAAACTGATATATCATAGGAAGACGTCTGGTTTTAACACCAATATGACAGAAGGATGTTTCTACCAAAGTATGAAATACACTGACCAAGTAATTCTTCTGAGGTACTTACTTGCCCTAGAATTCATTGAGTGGCCTTGTGCAATAAAATACTGACGAACCAGAATCTAACTGGCCAGCATCCTTAAAACCCTAATATTTTAAGATCACTGCTCTTTCTCTCCACATCAACAATTCCCCAATTTATTACTTCTCAATAATGTTAGTCTACTTCCAGTCACTGGCTTCTCCATATCTATAAATACGTAATACTTCTACCTTCTCAACAAAAATCTTACTTTGGGCCCCATGATCTACCTATAACAGGAGTGGGCAACCCCTGGCACGAGTGCCAAACATGGCACGCCAATAACTTTTGCTGGCACGCAAAACCCTCTCTTATAATCTTCCATTTACAATTGTGAATCTTTGTTCTCAGTGATGAATTTTGTTAAGTCTTGTAATAGGAGCAGCCTGATGGATGAAAGTAGTAGCTCGTGCATCTCTCTGAAGGTCACGAAATATAAACCTGATGTAAAATCTCTGTCATCAGTGATGCAGCAGCAAAAGTCCCACTGACAATATCAAATGGAGTCATAAAGTTTTCTGTCGAACTATCAGTGTACATGTATACATTAAAAAATAAATGTATTTTTTCATCATCATATACTGTGTTTTTGTCGCTCAAATGAATTTTACTATTTTTTCAAGGTTCTTCACATACGTACACCTTAAGAGATATCAATTAGGCGTAACATGTTCTCAAAAAAATTAGGGTTGGCACACAGAAGAATTTTGAGTCAGAGATTTTGCTGGTTTTGGCATGCACTCACAAAAAGATTGCCCACCCCTGACCTATAATCCTGTTTCCCTTTCGTATTTAGATTTCAACTTTAGAAATAGCCTTCACACATATTTATTTCCTTTACCTTGATGTAGTTTACTCCTGATTTCTCTCACAAGCTCCAGTCCTTGATTTGGAATCATATATTGCACTGACATAGTCACATACTTACTGATAAAATCAACCCTAAATTCTGAAACCTAAATCATCCTCCCCCCCAAAATCAATAATTCCTTCTTTTTGTTTGCTTGTAGCTTTTTATTCTCACTGCTCTCCAGATTTAAAATTTCAGAACCATCTTTTGATATTCCTTTATCCTTTGTATCCATAAGAGAGTTAGTCCCCAAGTCCAATAATCACTCTTTATGAACTATTATTTTGCCCCTTCCTGCCCATTCTGATAGCAATCAACTTAGTTCAACTCAGTTTTTCCTATTTAAATTTCTGCCTCTCACCTCTTACTCTTCTAGTCTTTTCCAGACATGATCAAGCACTTGCTGCTATTACCATAAGGCTAATATCACAATGTACAAACATCTGATCTCAATATCTATTTCCAATAGTATCTTGTTCTCCTCACAATGAACCCAACACTAGTCAAAATCACCCACTTTAGCCCTATTCGGTTTTGTTCAGTGGACAGAGTGTCAGTCCACAGAGACTGAAGGGTCACGGGTTCGATTCTGGTCAAGGGCACGTACCTTGACTGCAGGCTTTATCCCCAACCCCAGACAAGGCATGGAGGCAACCAATTGATGTGTCTCTCTCATATTAATGTTTCTCTCTCTCTGTCTGTCTCTCCTCCTCCTTTCCACTCTCTCTAAAAATCAATGGAAAAATATCCTCGGGTAAGGATTAACAACAACAAAAAGAAAAAATTCACCCACTTTACTCTTCCCTGAATATGCCTGGGCCTTCCATTCCAGAATTCCTAACCTAGATTAGCCTCTCTCCTAAATAAGTCCTAACAAATCCATCCAAAAACAGTTCCACTGTTTCTCTTCAACAAGTCCTTCCCAGGCTACTCTAGGTCAGTGGTCCCCTTTTCTAAACTCTTAAACTACCAATTTTACACATTATTCAGTAGGTATTCACCCAAACTGCCTAAAAATATTAGTTATTTCATGAAAAATGCCTATATTTTTTTACTCTCACCATAGAGCCATGCAACATACCAGAAAAACAAAAAGAAAAAGTGACTTACTGATATTTAAACAGTATGTGACAGGAAGCCTTGATGTATATATTATGATATACAAATTAGAGACAGGCTCCAAACAGAATGAGCCCTATAAATGAGTCCTCAATATGAAACCTATAATAGAGCCCAGCCAGCGTGGCTCAGTGGTTGAGCATCGACCTATGAACCAGAAGGTCACAGGTTCGATTCCCAGTCAGGAAACATGCCCGGGATGTGGGCTCGATCCCCAGTATGTGAGCTTGATCCCTAGTGAGGGTTGTGCAGGAGGCAGCTGATCCATGGTTCTCTCTTATTATGGATGTTTCTATCTCTCTCCCTCTCCCTTCCTCTCTGAAATCAATCAACATATATATATTTTTAAACCTATAATAGAAGTAAAATAAAAGAGGGAAAGGTATAATTTTATTCATAGGCTTTGCAGTGTTTATTTTCTTGATGTATTTTGCACCTTTTTCTCAATACCATTCACCACCAGCCAGAAAATACTGCTTTAAAACAGGTAAAGTGTGATTTTTACACCCAAATTGGTAAAAAATGCATTTTTAAATATCTCAAAGAACAAATAAGCTCCTATTCCTAAAATGCTTTAAATCTGGCTGAATTAGGCTAAATCTTCTACAATAACTACATAAATATAAACTATGACCACATAATTTCTTGGTGATTCTACATCATTGTGGATAATGTAGTGCATCTGCTAGATTATACTTGAATATCCTAAGCACTCACCTGTGAGTGCCTGGGGAAAATCACTAAAGCTTGGAATCTTGGGGCAAAGGGCATTACATATAATATCAAATACATCCTGCCCACAGAAATTCGCA